ATAAGTTAAATATGTGATGGTATAGGTATGGTGACCCCTCTAGGTCTGACATTCTCTGAATGTCCCACATAGAAAATAAAGTTTTTTGAAACATTAAATAAACCTGTATGTGAGATATGTAGATGATGTATTTTTAATATTTAAAAACTAACAAATTCAAATTCCCGCATCCTTAATTATAATAGTGTGCATTCTTATAGATATGAAATAGTTATTAAAAATTTAATTAATAGAATTCACCTAAATTCCTTTTCATGCACTCTGTTATATAAAGGATTCACCAACAAAAATAAAATCTAATTAACAATAGATTTTCAGTTTATATAATTGATCAACAAATTAAAATAAACCTACATACTTTGTACATTGGTCATACAATGCCCATTAACATGTCACTTAACCAATCTTCTTTGTCTATTTGCTGTGTCTCTTCTGACATGTGTGATCATGGCTCTCCACAACTTCCTATCCTTTGTAGCTCTTAGTAAGATTTGTCATTTTGTTATCTCTCCCAATTCCTGCTCTACCATCCATTTACACAAGCTTGTTAGGTAGGTTACTCACTGCTTTTGTCTGTTCTTCTTACCTTAAATATATCTTGTGAGTCACTTAGCTTGTAGTTGTTTTGTAAAAACCTATGTTCATGTTATGGGAACTTACCTATACCGATAATGGACTCTTCCTGACACTATAAATACTGCGCCTCTCAAGAGGTATAATGAATGAATGGTGTAACGAGTCGAGACAATATTAATTCACTCTAAACCAGACGGACAGTCATTACTAACACCTTCAACTTCTTGTACTATATTTCTGTTGTAATATATCTTTGTTATTCTACTCTTGTGTTCGTATTCTTCCTTGGTTCTAACCTTGGACCATAACTGTGGTGCGAGGATATTGGACCATAAAAGTTACTAATCAACACTAAAATCAAAAAGAAAATCTTACCCTAACACCTGAGAGATGCATATAAAAAATATAAAAATACTATACAGCATTAACTACACAAAATGAGAAACAATTATAAAAAATGTACAACTACAATAAAAAAAAATTATCATTCAACATAGAAATCAGCATTTTAAATATCTATTAAGAAAAAATATTTGCATGATTTTAAAAGGGCTTCATGATCTCCTCTGGTATCATCATCTCTTGGCACCTATTATATATGTTTGATGCATGCATTTTTGAAGGTATTGTACTATACTAATATAGATTGTGTGTGATAACTGTATAATTTCTTCTTTTTCTATGTGCCATGTCCATTCAGGATGTTGGTGATCATGACTCTCCCCAATTTCCTGTCCTTTGTAGCTCTTAATAACTTTTGTTTTTTTGTCATCTCTCCCAAACCCTTCTCCACCATCCATTCAGGCTAGCCAGGTAGGTTGTACATTGCTTTCCTTTGCCCTGTGAGTATCAAATTTTCCAAGTTCTCTTTCCTCATTTCCCAGGAAGTTTCAACTGTCTCTTCCTGATGTTAAGAATATATATTCTTTTTGTTGCCATTGTCTCAGGAACTTTGTCATTGCTCATTTTTTGCTATGATATTCTCAACATCCTTGTGTAGAACCACATTTCAGTTGCTTCAGTCTGTGAAGAGATTGCTCAGCATTCACTGCAATATAGGAAGAATGATACTACATAACAGTCCAGTACTCTTTTCTTTGTTTCTAATATTTTTCTAACTTACAATGTCCATACAAGAAAGCAGGCAATAGAATCTAGCTCGGGCAACCATTGTCAATAGGAACATTTAATATAAGGAGATAGGAGGAATTGACAAGTTAGATTAATTACAAGTGTCTATTGAAATTAAGTGAAATTGATCCAAAATATTAAAACTGAATTGTGGAAAATGTGATGAAGAATATTTAAGGTAGAAAATTATTAAAAATACTAGTTACACGGTTGTTTTAGGTGAAAGTAAACACAATCTACACATGAAGAGTTTGAAATTGAGGGTGAAATAGCAAGATGGCTTTATACTGCAGACAATTTTGAGATTATTCCTCATTGATACCTGGATTTGTTTTGTCATTTAACTGCTCTAACAGGCTAATCTGATCACTTAAAAAACAATTATAAGTTTTAAGTTGTAATTTGATATATTAAGTGTGTGAGGGTGGGAGAAAGATTTTTTTTATTTTTTTATATGTGGAAAAGAAACAGTAAATCCTCTCAAACAAAAATTAATTCTCTCAATAAATCCTAAATAATAAGCAGATAATTTCTTGTGATAAGATGGCTAATTTTATCTACAAAACAGTTAAATTATGACAGTAAAAAGACTAATTTCTAAACAAATTAGTTGTAGAAAAAATATATTATATTTTTGGGGGATTTCTATTTGATTTTGTTGAGGTAGGAATTGTTAGAATTAACAATTTGGGGAATATTTTAGTTAATTATCCCATTTTTGTATCACTATTTGAAAGAGTATATGTATTTTATGGTTTAGTGGATTACAATGTTGGTAAACTGTAAATTACATCACTTAGCATCTTCCATAGTTTATCTTTACTTCCACAGTTGGCTTTATAAAAATATTTTAGAGCATTCTTATATTTAACATTTAAAAACATAATGATATAAAAAGCAATAACATTTTAGAGGAAATACTATTAAAATCACTACTACTACTACTACTACTAATAATAATAATAATATGCCAAAACAGTGTGAGCATTGTAATTGTTAAAGAGATTTTAAATTAAAACATTTCATTCAGCAGTAACCACAATTTAATTTACTTTACCTCTAATTTACTTCTGTTTATAAATAAAACTTACAAAATAAAATCTCTACATGTATACTGATAAAGTCACACTAGTGATGAAATCTCTTAAAGAAACATTTTCCATTTGACTTTGTATATGGTTTCCTGTCAGTTGTGATTTCAATCTCTGTATTAGTAAAGAGCTTAATATATAATCAGTGGAAGGAAAGAACAAGTGATATTAAGGCAAATAGATTAAAAAGAATTAATAGACATGAAATATCCTTTAAACAGAATAGGAACAATCTGCTCTTGTGGATTAAATAAAAGGACTGGCTTAAAATTCCAAGAAGGTTTTAAAGTATGATGAACAACTTAAGAAGGCAAGGAGATGCAATGACCAAAATGTGAAACCAGGATTAATAGGTTGGCTGTAATAGAAAGGCATATGATAATTCCTAAAAAAATTCTAGCATAAATTCTTCACACATTTTAAATGTTTCTCTTTGTATTGCTTATTCAGTTTGTATAGTTTGCTTGTTTTCATATTTTCAGTCAATGTTTTCAATATTCTACAGTTTTTCTCTGTTTATATTCACAACAATGTCTTCAAATATTTTATTCCTGGTCAATCCACTTTTATTGCTTATTAGAATTTTTAAATTTATGGGGATCTCTATAATATTTAGAATGTCATTTTTTCTTGTTTTTTATCTTACTAATGTTTTTCATTTCTTTTGTGATTACTCTTTGCTTAACGTTTTACAATTTCTTTCACTCATTTGTAGTATTGTGTTTCATTTCTGTAGTTATATTTTTCTTATGACCCATTCTGTATCTGAAATCAAAAATATATAGCTGCCAATAACTATTATATATATTTATTTACAATATGATGAACAATACCTTATAAAATCTTACACTAACAAGTGAGGTATTATAAATATTTATAATAAAAACATATTATAAGTTGAAATTCATATAGTATATTTATCGTATAAATATATTTGGAAAATTTAATCAATATTGGTTGATTAATACTAGATTTAATGTGAAAACATTGACTAGCATAATAAAATGTGACATAGTGTATATGTATGTCTTTTAATTTCAAAATAATCACACTAAAAGTAATGACTTCAAAGAATCTACAATAAATGTTTTGTATATTTAACACAAGAAATTTGAATACATATATTAATTTTGTAAGAAATTGTACAAATATTAAGTGTGTCATATCTTTAGCATATCCTGCAATTAACATTATGATGTATTTAATCTTGTATTTTTCATTATCTATGAGAACCAGACAATTTATTTTTCAGCCTTGAATACCTAGATATGTCTTTTAAAAGCACTAGATTGGATATATATTTCTTCCTTACTGAAATTTGGCAAATAGTTCATTATTTTACAAATAGGCTGCTAATTTTTAACCACCCTATATTTACACAAACACATATCCTAATGTATGTGCATTATAATTCTCATGATAGCTTTATATAATATCCCATCATGCAGTGTTTTCATTCATTTTATAATTTTCGATATCATTTTTATATCATTTCCATAACTATTTCAGATATATCAGGAAACAGTCTAATGTTTTTCTCTTTTCATTTTAGATTCCAAAAATGCTCAATCTGAGATGGCATAAAGCCCAGCTGAACAAAAGATTTTCACAATGAATTGGTTTAAACGTGGTATTAACAGGCAGGATGCTTCCAAGTTACACCTGCCTGATAAAGTTGAGTACCAGTTCCCAGATGTCCAACCTCGCAGGGACACTGACCCACAGACATGTATGGAAGTGTTCCAGAATCACTGGAAACAGGCATGGCTTGTAATTGGTGGCCAAGATGGCACACTGAAAGAGAGATACACAGCAGATGATGTTGAGACTGTTATTCATAACATTGAACAAATGATGACATTGTTGGCCAGTGAGGAGAGTTATGATTCTTCTCCAGGGCCTATATTGCAATTTGTAATTAAGGAGAACACACTGGAAAAGTTTGGGCATTGGTGTGGGAAGATCCCTGAACTTCAAGAAAAGTTGATCTGTGATCAACTAAAAATGTTCTACCAGCTTATTGCTCATTCAGAGCAATTGGTCTTAATCCATAGGTCAATCTTTCATCCACTGACGATGTTGTTATCATCCTGTGCAGATCATCTTAAGTCCAAAGAAGTGGAAGAACTCTTGGCACAGGTGTTGCACCAAATATGTATCTGTATATCTCAGCAGACATCAACATTAGAAACTTTCTTTTCCATGGAAGAGGAAAAAGGCCCAGCAGAATATTTAGTATTCTCACTTATCCTTTACATTCACAGAGATGGAAGAGTTGGACAGCAGGCACGTGAAGCCTTGCTTCTTATCATGACATTATCCAACAAATACCCACATATTGGAAAATACATTAGTGACCATTCGCATCTCTGTCCGGTAAGTAATTTAACGTTATTATTATATAATTGACAACCAACTAAAATACATATACACTTTTATGATTAATTTGAATTCTGATAAAATAAATTACCAATAATTACCTTGTGAAAAAGCATTTACTATATAATGATGAATATCGTTAATGATTAATTAATTTACTTAACTTTTAGATATATTTTTTGTAAGTTTCCAAACTTAGTTATCTTATATTGATATAATAATTTATATTAGATATTATTTGAAATTTGCAAACAGTTAAAAAGTTGAGCTGTTTGCAAATTTTGGTTGAAACTTCTTATATCATTTCAAGCTAATGTCAAAAATTCAAGCTTGTTTTCATCCTTAAAGAATACAAGTTAAAAACTTGTCTTTATCTTTTTAATAGTAAACAAAGTAGTTCTAGCCCTGTAAATTTGCAAGGACTAAATAGTTATTTTTTGATACTTCATTCAGAAACCCTTTTCAGATGATTTCTAGCATGAAATGAAAAAAAAACAAGTGAGCAAAATTTTGCCTTTTGTCCCTAAATTAGACAAAATCTCAGTTTCATATGAGATCAGTTAATAAGATTAGGTATAAAGCTATTTGCCTGTTATCATATTATATAAAAATATATATATATATATATATATATATATATATATATATATATATATATATTTGTTATCATGCATCCATTTCAAATGATCATTCATAATTATGTATACATAAATGGAGCATAAATTTGTGAGTATGAAATAAGTGTGTAGGGTGCGATGCATAAATTGTCTAAATTATGCAAAAATGAAAATAACACTGACACCTGATTTTAATTGATATATTTACCAAAATTACACAAAAATATCTTGAAATACTAAAAAGTAAATTTATTCAATAAAATCACCATTGGCTTCAATCATGGCCCACAGACAACTTTGGAATCTCCTGCATCTCTTGTGGATGGTTTCTTTGTATATATGGTGAATGCTGCTGTAATACATGTTGTCAGTTCATCTTAGGGGTTACAGGGAGTTTCCAAAACTACTTGTAATACTCAACTGTGCCCCACTAATAATAATTAAGAGGGATGCAGTCTGGGGAATTATGTAGCCAGATGTAAGGTGTAATGTCGAAATTGTCTGACAGCCATGACTTGGTTATCCTGCTTGTGTAGCATGGTGTAAAGTCCTGTTGCCAAACATAAGGTCTTCAGCACTACCACCTCAAGGCACTTGATGTAGGCCTCTGTGTTGAATCTGAGGCCCTAAGCTGAAAAAATCAAAAACAAGAAATATGCATGCAGAAAATTAAAAACATAAAATGCCCAAAATTTACCCACCACACCCTGTATATATTGGATATTGTGTTTATTTTCTGAATTTGACATTGGAATATATATAGTGGATATTGTACATATAAGTGTATATATTGGATATTATTATTATTGTTGTCTCAATTTGACATTGCAGTTTGAATTAAAAGTTCATTGAATTTTCTTTGTTAAATTTCTTTCTGCTTATAGACAAGACTTTTTTTATGAGATTTTGTCCACTTTTGGGGATAAGAGGGTGAGATTTTGTCCTCTTACTGGCACTAACAGTTTAAGATTTGAAGATCTAGCTTAAAATAACATTCTGGTTATCTGCCAGACATGGTGAGATAGACATTTGGAATGGAGAACTTTCTCATCCAAGGGTGGGCCATTGTTAGGAATAAAAAAACAAATAAAAAAAAATATTGCAGAATATATATGCATTGTAGATTGCTTCTGATGACCCCATGACTTTATCTTGATGGAAATATCAGTTGATATTCTGTTTTCACTAGTCACCATGTAAAATATGTGCCTGCTTGCATTTTGCTTATTGATTGTGGATATTTATAATGTACATTAAATTTCAAATTATAGATAAAAAAAAGCAATGAAATCTATTTGGTCATTTCATGTCATTCAGAAACTTAAACATTGATCCTTTAATTTGTATGTTGCTTAAGGGTTGGGCTTCATTGTTCTGGCAGCAATTATGCAATTCCACTTAATGTCTTGACTATAGTTTTATTTTAATTTTATTTAGCAATGCTTCTTATTTTTCTTCAGTGATCAATTGCTTGCCTCTGTATTGTTTGTCGTAATAAAGTAATGTTATATAGTAAAGTTTTTGTGTGTATATGACAATTTTATTGTATTTAAATTTCTAGACAGAATCTTTCATAAGAAAGTAAATTTTAGCCAGAGATATGCATTTGTCAGATTTGTTTCAGTATTTGACAGAATATTATTGCTTATACTGTTAATTATATATATCAAATATACATTCAATATAAGCTTATTGGTTGTTATTTGAAAGAAGAATCGAACCTCTGTGTGTTTGTGATGAGATTATAATTCAGTTATTTTGATTAAATGAAACAATGTATAAAGAAAGAAATATTGAATGTAGGTGGTGGGGGAAGTGGACATCAATTAGTATGTATTAGTTTATTTACTGGTGAATCTTCAGAATAGAAAATTTTATGACTATGATTTAATTTTGCTATTTTCTTTTTTGTATAAATAAACTTTTAATAATATAATTACTCTAAAAATTCCTGTTATCACTAGATTTTGAACCTGACTGGAAACTTTGACCTGGAGATAAATTGATTCATGAAGTCAAAGGGCAACAAAGCACTATCATCTGGTAACATCTTTAAAAATATCAACTGCAGTTAGGATCACAGTCATTGTGAATACCTTGTTCCTTTCATTAGCTGTATAATATTTGCTTTGCCAGGGCTACATATGGTTTTGAATTCAGAGTTGTCTTTCTCCTAGACTGGTTGCCAACCAATACTGAAGAGCTCAGCCTGCTCTACTATTTATCCATAGTTGAAAGTTTTGAATTCAGTTGACTTTCTCCTAGTCTGGTTGCCAGCCAAGACTATACAATCCGTCTGTCTTGCTATTTACCCATAGCTGGGGGAGAAGAAATAGTTCATACCTTTCCCAAGGGTGTTTGCATGTAAGTGAATTCAAACTCGGCTCTCTGATTCCTCAATCTGAACCACTATCCATTACTCCACTGATTCTCTATCACAATGAAATATAATTAGACATTAAGTATTCATTTAAACAAATTTTGCAAGGTTTGTTTTATTTTTTTTGTATTTTTCTAATTTTTAAATAAGCTTTTGTACATTCAAATCAAAATTATGGATAAATTGTCCAAAGTTTGCATTTTTGTTCTGTATAAAGAAAGAAATTAATTGATTGAGTACTTTTAACCATTTTGGTCATTATCAAGAACTAAATATTATCAAACTATAACTATTAACACAAGACAAATGTTAGTAGAGAATACCAAAATACTAAATAGCACTCACTGCAAGGAAATACTCAAAGCTCTTGTACAGTGTGTGGCAGAAATACTTCCTACATTTTAAAGATTGACAAAAAGACCAAAGTAATTGTTATTAAAAAATTTATTTCCTTTTTGTTTAAACAAAGGGCTACAGTTTTTATTCATTTGGTTTTGAAAATGACTTTCTTCAAATAGTGGCCATTAATCACCAAAAACTGCCATAGATGATTTCTAAAGTTTTCTGTCACCCAGAAGTTCAAATGCATCAGGGTTTTTCAGGTGGTTTTCTTTTAAGTGCTGAACCTGTGGCTGTGAAATTTTCAACTAATTGCTGCATTGATTTTCTATTCAGAAGAGCATCATTCTGACATAACATGAATTGAGCACAAAAAGCTTTTCTGTATTGCAATTATAGATTCACCAGTCTTAAAATAATGTTTAAACAGCAAATACATGATGTACATTAGCATAAACCATAATGATATCTGAAAAAAAAATGTTAAGATATTAGCTAGATGAAGACACCATTGCCACTAGCACCATACAAGTGGCAGATTAAAACATGGGAGTTATTTCTGTACAAAAGAATCTACAGTGAATAAAATATGGTTCAACACAGGGGATGACATTTTAAAGTATATATAAAATATTTAAAATACATATAAAATATTTGATACATTTATTATCCAGTGCTTTTGAGCTCTGTGAAATCATTCTTTATATGACATAACTTATTGAATGCATATAACTGGTTGGAACAAAAGTTCTCATAGTTTCTAAATAAATTTGATAACTTACAAACTTTCTTTCCAACCAGATATATTTGAATTTTAAATGTTGTGTTCCAAAGATTGTCAGAGCATAGCCAACAGAGTCTGACCTACAATACTGACAATATACAGTTGAAAATAGTTGAACAAAAACAGAAAAAAACCATCAAATTTGGACATTTTATCAACAATTTTGATTTTGATGAACAACTTATTTGAAAAATAGAAAAATACAATAACAGAATTAAACAGGCAGATCTTAGTTATTGAATTTAACAAACTGTGTTTTTCTAAAATTAGAAAAATACAATAAATATGTTAAGATCTTGTCAGTTGAATTTTACTAAAACTTGTTCATGCATGTGTGTAAAAGTTGGTACAGAAGTAATTGAGATTTTTTACTTTAAAATTTGATGCTAGTTTTAGAATAAACTATTATTTATTTATATTAATATTGTTTATTATCTTAAAGCACAATTTCCCCTCTATTGATTCTTGCTAATGGTTTTGTTTTCACTGCTTCTTGTCAGTTTGATTGTCAAAAGCAAAGATAGCAAAACAGAAAAGAAACCAATTTGAGCAATTTTATTTTATGAGTTTAGAATGGGTTGTAAAGCAATGGAAAATGCTTGCAATATTAAACAAACATTTAACCAGAGGACCATCAATGAATGTACAGCTGAATATTACTTCAGAAAAAAAATTTATAATAGAGATAAGTCTTGAAGATGATGAGGGTCATGGATGTCTTTCTGCAATTGGAGACAGCCAACTGAGGTGTATTATTAAAGTGGTCATAGTGAAAGTAACCTGACGGATTGCAGAACTACATGTTGTTCAGTATTGCAACCACTTTTCATGCTGTCTTTATCAACATGTTTGAAACATTTCTTTGTGCCTTTTTGAT